CTTCAAACATGATTCAGTGACAAACTGCTGACAAAACACCACTAAATGCTCCCCTTAACTTTCTGTCCAAATATGTGTTTTAGGAACCTCCTGATAACCATATGCTTTCAATAAACTGGACAAATACACTCGGGAGATAGGAGATGGTGGCTCGCCGTTATAAAAAAGGCACGAAAAGGTCTAAAGTAAACGGAATATTCCCGCTTTACAAAGAATGATTGATGTAAAAGCCGCGTGCTGGATGTTGGACAGGTGCGCGCTCAGGGCTCTGCTCGGCTTTTTTTATTTTCCTGTCGCGTCCCGCTCCTCATGCAAAGTGTGGGCAAACACAAGAGGCCAAATCACAGATATGGAGGCAGAAAGTGATTTAACAATATTTAACAATAAAGCAGGTGATGATTGAAACTTCCTTCCTGCTGCTCGGGTTTACAGTCTCTTCTGCTTATTTATGAAACGAAATCTATTTATTATTATTTTAGCAAACAGAGGAACCAGGTGGGGCTTTATGTCCCCCGCGAGCTTTTTGTTTGAAGGACGTTTTGAGGGGGGACAATCAAAGTCCAACAACTCGCTGACCAGATTGTTGTCATCCTGAACCGGCAGCGGAGCCTTTCAATGCGCCCCCTCCCCTCCCCTCCCGCCCCTCCCGCCCCTCTCCGCCTGGCAGAGAGCTGTGAGGAGGAGGAGGAGAAAAGAAAACTTCTTCAGGAGACGAAAACCATCTTAAAACGTTTAATTGCAACCCGGATGCCATATGTAGTCCTCTTGTGAGACCCGGGCAACAATGTGAGCGCCGTGGAGTGCGCCTTTGGAGACGTGTGCGCCTTTGGAGAGGTGCGCGCCGTGGTTGACCAGCGTGACCCCGGAGACACTTTACACAAGAAGTAATTCACTTTTAATGTGCTGCGGGCTTTTCCTTTTCACGGTGCCACGCTTTGCAGCGCCTCAGAAGGCAGTGTTCGCCAATTACAGGAGCCTGCAGGGACAAAAAACACGACAACAAAAACAAACACAAAAAGACTCTTTTAAACCTAAAACTGTTCTTTGTTTTTACTTGGAGATGTCTCCACGTGTCCCTGATGGATTGGAGATGTCTCCAGGTGTCCCCGATGGATTGGAGATGTCTCCAGATGTCCCCGATGGACTGGAGATGTCTCCAGGTGTCCTTGATGAACTGGAGATGTTTCCAGATGTCCCTGATGGACTGGAGATGTCTCCAGGTGTCCCCGATGGACTGGAGATGTCTCCAGGTGTCCCTGATGGATTGGAGATGTCTCCAGGTGTCCCCGATGGACTGGAGATGTCTCCAGATGTCCTTGATGAACTGGAGATGTCTCCAGATGTCCCTGATGGACTGGAGATGTCTCCAGGTGTCCCCGATGGACTGGAGATGTCTCCACGTGTCCCTGATGGATTGGAGA